TACATAAACGTCTGCATAAGCATTAAAAATACTGTTAAAGGCTTCAAAGTTGTTACAAATACTTCTAATAAAACGTGAATGTATTTTTCGAAAGTAGAATTATGCACGAATATGAGAATACAAATACACAAAATACATAAGAATCTAAAAATCAAATTTCAAGCTATAAATCACAATTGATAAAAACTGAAGAATTGTAACTTCTTCGTCAGGATTTTCTGCGACCGCGGTAGTTGTAAATTCTCACAAATGCATAAATATTTTTTTACTTTTTCCGTGCACTTTCTATCCTTTCGCACTTTATTTGACACGGAATACAAATTAGAGAAGCCATTTCTTTATATTTATTTCTACTGCGTTCATTCTTTCTCACATGTTGCTTTTCCAACTTTCATATTTACTTTCTAGCATACGTGAAAAGTGTAGAAACGAACCCAATACTATCCTTTTACTGTAAGCACTAAATCAACATCCATCAAACTCTACGATGCAGAATCTCAATTAAATTACTGCAATTACACTGTACAGAACGCACATATTTCAACCCGAGCGTCTTCTACTTCAGATGTATACCTAAAATATCCCAGAAATCGTGCAAGCATCACGAACTATCCGCGACCCTCGATCCGTGCCGCTTCCTCGTAGCAATGTCCGCCAAAGTCAACACGGTGACACGCGTGTGAGGAAACGCAAACGGCGCACGGACCAACCCTTGCGTATACAAGGTGGTTCGAAAACACAGGAACTATCTTTGTAGCGTAAAAAATCTTGGGACTCTCGTGTGTCCAGCAAGTAACTGTTACGGAAATAGTTCAAGCTTCTAGTCTTTAGGTTTTGCCTGAATTTCTCGAAACTGAGGGCAAGTGTTGGGGGTAACACTTCAATCGGAGCAATTAAGGATCGACGTTGCGTAGAAACGAAACTTTATTAAAACTGGCGGAACGTGACTTGCGGATGACAATACAGAGAATGAGTCGAGGATGGAAAAATAGGGCTATTTAAGGGTTTGAGGAGGATGCAACTTTGGGTTACGACTGTGTAGGAGATTTGGAAGGTGAAGAGTTCGGTGTAATGGTGAAAGTTGGTGGCAAATTGTAAGCCTAAGAAAGAAAATATTTTAGGGTATAACAGAACTATTAGGTCTATGCAGAAGTTCGCATCGTGTTTCTGTGAAGAACGTGTACTTATTTTTTCTCGCATTTATAATAATTAGTCGTTATCAAAATAATTGTAATAATATTGATACTACGGAGGCATAATGCCTCCCTACCAAAATACAATGCCTTTTATTGTATTTATTGAGAATCTTTAATTTGCGAATAAAGATTGACTCAATCGACTGCAGAGAAAAAGAAAACGTTTATTGATATAAATGTAATACAAAACAACGGAGGCGAAAACCCGGGTTATATACTTGGATCGGAACCACGGTCCGCGGACCCATTGCTTTTATGGCCCGGCCTGGGCCTACGTTAAGGAGAGAAAAATTCAAAATATAATCTATTCTCAATAGTATTCTTAGTCACATTTAGCAACAAAGACAAACGAAATTTTATAAACAATTTAAAGTCGGCTAACATTTTTCTTCCTCCTGAAAAATCTGATTTTCCGCACTGACAGTGTTTTCTGCAAGTAGGTACTCTTATTAAATGCACAATATTCTCCCAATTCGCGCGAAATGGATCATATCGTAAAAATTGTCACGAACTTGTGAAACTTTTCTGTTCCTTCCAACGAATCCGACTATTTCCGAAACACTCGGTAGAGAGAAAATACCTGCAAGCCTCGAATTCAGTATTTTTCGCGAGACAACGAATCTATGCGTGTCCCGAGCACGTGGCGTGTCCGTACAGACGGAAAGAAAGATGTCGCGTTGCCTCTCGAACGCAACGCGCGTGACCGCGGCAATAAATCAAAGCGAAATCCCGTTGCTTTCGATCCCGACCCGCTTTCGAGAAAGGAAAGGGGTGCTTTTCAGGTTCACGACCCCCGAGAGGTGTCGCGTTACGAAAAAGCCATTCGTCATCGTTGCTCCCTCCTCCCTCCTTCTTTTCTTCGCTTCTTCAAAACCACCCACAGCTTCTACTTTTTTCCACTCCTCCTATGCTTCTTCGAACATCGTTCCAGACCCGGGGAGATCTTTCGCGATCACTGGACCCATTCTGGGTTTATCTAGCAAGAAAGGAAAGGAGTGGACGGTTTAATGGACCGCGAGGTTCCTCGGTGACGAAAATCGGTACGTGAATTGGCGAATAATGTGAAAGGGTCGTGCAGCTCGGACATGTGTTCGATTAGAGGGAAATTGATTGTCGCGTGTGGTTGTTTGGGGATTTGGAAGAATTGATGGAAGAGTTTGGTTTGAGATTAGGAGAAATGTAGTTGTGTAGTTAAGTAGATAGAAAGTTACGTAGAAAATGTATTTTGTCAAACTGAAATGTAACAACGTGAAATCTACTGTAATTAATATTTGAATGAGTTCCATTATTATAAACATTGCAAAGAAGAAATGTATTTCGTGAAATTAAAATATAATAATATGGAATCTTCTATGATTAATATCTGAATGAAGAATTCACATTACCTAAAGAAATCTTTTTTAAATTCATTCGTTTAAATATATAAAAATTCAAATATTTGTTAATCGAAATTTTGTTTCGTATAAATTTGTGCGCGGAAACTGTAGAAACCTCGACTTTTAGTCAATACTGATCTCGTTTAAATTATATAGAACCAGATGATTGAAACTTGGAGATTTGAACAGATCGTCAAACATACTACAAAATGATACAAACGAAACGTTTAAACATACGATACTACATCGTGGAAATGGACATAAAAAAATTATCCTCTTTTCCAACGATATCATCGTGGGTCAAGTGGGCTGTTTGCCGTATTATTACGTCGACATCTGGCAAGATACTTGGATCGAGATACATGGCTCAACATTATGTCAAAGTGCAGCTCCGAGTACTGTAATGCCAAAGTGGTCTTGCGCCAGCTTACATTCATGTCAGCGCGTTAGGAGAAACGAAGTGTATTCAATTTTGATAAATTTGTCTGTTCTTGCATAATTTCACATATATTGCACATTCTAAACATGTAATAAATACATTCTATCTAGTATAATAAACAATCATAATTCAACCTTTCTACGTTCAAAATCTTTTATTTTTCAATTAATGTAAACAATCATCAATGAGAAGTTTTACAGATCACTTCTTCCTCTATACTAATTATTATTCCTTTCTTCCAATACCTCTGCCATCTTTACCTCAACAACTTTATCTTTAACTTAAAATTCAAAGTTTAAAAATTTTCCAATTTTTTCCCTCTATATTAATGTAGGAACCTAGGGAAAAATATTGAAGGACCCCAAACGGGAATCGAACCCAGGACCTTCGGCTTAGCAGCCGAGGGCTTTGCGCGCTGCGCCAACCACTCCCACTTTATTCTCCCTTGTCGGTTTCCTATTTGGGTATGGAGGCCCCGATACTACATTAACTATTATTGCTCTCTTCCCATATCATACTGATTATTCTTGCTCTCTTACTATACATCTGCTGTCTTTACAATCTGCTATCAGCAACTTTAGTTTCAAAATAAAGTTCAAAGCTCTCTACTCGCTCGAAACCCAAATCTAGAACACTTAATTTCCGACACAAATAGCCCAGCATTAAAATCTCCAGATAACGCTTATCAATGTACGGAAGTTCGAATCGAAAGCGTGTCGAAGTGAATTCACATCGCGCCACGTAAACGACGCAACCCATAATGCATCTCTCGAAACACATTCGACAGCAAGATTACGAGCCTTTTGTGGAAACAGAGATCATCTTGGTTGGGAGAAATGAGATGACAGTTTCACCGGTCGATCGCGAACTTCTTTGTCGCGAAACGAGAACGCCTCGATACACGTGGAAACGGTGAATAGGCTCGTTGAGTGGCACCTCTATCTGGATAAATCGCGAGCAACACGCTTATCCCGGATTTCATACGTTTACCCTCATACGTCTGCGCAAGCACACCATGTCCACGGAGATCTCGTTCCTCTCCTTCGTTCGATATTACTTGTTGTCTTCTGCTACTCCATAACTCCTCTACGTTTCACGTTATTCAAAGCGGATTCTGTTCTTTTCATTTGAACGTATCGCGAATGTTTTCACCAGAGATTCTTGTTTACGAGGGTATGTATCTTTACAATCTGATCATTTCAAATCCTCCACGAGTGAAATGGTTTTTGATGTTTGACACCGTTATCTTTGTGCCAGTGGATAAAACACGATTATTGAGGAAATCCACGGATGATTCAGCGAGAGAAAGTATATGCACGTATTTATTGTAGAAAATGTGTCGAGTAGAGTGTTGTGTATAGTATTTGTGATTTGATAGAGGTAAATTCGCCAAATTCTTCCCTTATTTCAATAATTCTGTAAGTTTTCCAAATGTTTTCATAATTTGCAATTGTACATATGGAACACCCTCTATTATACTGTAGTACATCAGTATGCATTTAGGTCGAGTTAGGAATAGTACAAATACATATAGTATCAAAATAAACAGAAAATAATGTTGCTTAATGGAACATCCTATATTTTACTGTGGTATATCAAAAGAAAAGAAAAATTAAAGCATTTAGGTCGAATTACAAATAGTACTAATACATGTGGCATTTATAATATAGTGTCAAAATAAATACAAAATAGTATGTTTTTAAAATAATACTGATACAAATTTGCAACCATTTGAGTTACACATAAAGAATTAATAAAATCTCACAATAAAGAAGCATCCCTTTATTACAATTTAAAGTGTCCCTTAAAGTTAACTAAACACAGCATACTTGATAAACTACCTACACTTAAAATTCAAAGAAACGTCAACGACCAAAATATCACCTAATTTTCGAAGCAGATAAAAGAAAAGAGTCTCTCGTGACACATTGAGCTTGTTACAGCCTCCGGAAGGCACGAGGAGTGTAAAATGAAGTTCGAGTCACTTACCGTAAGGCACGCATTTCGGGATAGGATGATTCCAACCGTCGGCAGTGCAAGTCAGTATTTTATGGCCCTTCAATCTACGGCCTGGTTCACACGAGTACACGGTCTGTAGAGTGCCATCTTTAAGGACCCGCTCTCTCACCGTGCCCCACTGAGGCGCCTGTACCAGGGGACAATTCCCGAGAACTCCTGAAAAATCGAACGACAAGACCTTTTCAATCCTAACGGAGGCGTGAGAATATAAAAACTTGTAAGAATAGAAGATTTAAGACATTCACGGCCCAGAACACGATTATTATTATTATTGAGGCTTGAAACGTCGGAGTACTCTTTCCATAAGGACAAGGCTTACACTGGAAAGCTTCAATAATAGTAATAATAATAAAATTGTAAGAACTTTCATCATTCTTCAGTTCAAGTTTCTTTCATGTCAAAGAGAATAAAAAAGAGAATTTAAGAGAAAATCATAAATGAATAGAAACGACTTTAAACGACGAAAAGAATCATCCAAATATCATATACGCCACAAATACAAATTTTACCGATAATATTTTTTCGATAAAATATACTGTTAAGAAATACTCAACAGAGTTCTACCAAGACGAAAACGAGACAAATGAAAAAGGTCGTATAGTACGGCGGTAAGACGCTATAAGATTGCTGGTAGTTTCCGTAGTTGAAGGGCGAGCTCCTAATCGGCTCGCCGCAAGAATCTCAGCGAGTTACGAGCCACAAGACTGGAGGTCATGTTCACCACCGCCAACGACGAACGCGCGGCCAGAACGAAACGAGTCTCCTTGTCGTAAGTCGCCGTGCGAAACGGCTTTTGTCGTATACATGTAATGTACGGCGATTTCCCTATCATAAGCGCACACGTCCATTTCTCCCACCTACCGTGCAGCTCT